CAGGGACACCTGAGCTGCTGGTTGTGAGCCAGCCAGGCTCTGGGTACAGACCAGACATGTCATGGTTGTGACATGGCTGTGTCATGGCAGTACTGGGCCTGAGAGACGAGTATCTCAACACGCTCTCAGGCTGAAATAGGTAAATGGCATCCAGGCTGGAGCTAGTAATTCCACACGTCCCTTCACCTGTGTTGCACATCCTACAGTTAGGAAGTAGTTTATTATTTTGCCTTTTGCTGAGCCGTACACAGCACAAGTGGCTGAGGAAGCTGGTGGAATGAGTGAGAGCAAAGTTCCCAGTAGCTGCCACTTGAGTTTATGTCTTTGTTAGCAATAAATGGTTCCTGATACCTCTAGCCTGGTCCTTAGCAGGAGGCAACTGCAAACCTGGCCCCAGCCCAGATGCCTAGCTGGCATTTGGGGCATTAGGCAGGCATTGGTTGCTCCATGTGCTTTTCCTCTTTGCTTGCAGCTGATGACAGAGTTCCTATGTGGCATTCGCGTGATCAAGTTTTACGCCTGGGAGAAGCACTTCAGCACCAGGATAAATGCCTGCCGGGATAAAGAGTTGCAGAAGTTACGAGCCATCAAGTACTTGGATGCTGTGTGTGTGTATCTGTGGGCAGCACTGCCTGTTGTTGTCTCCATTACCATCTTCATCACCTATGTACTGTTGGGTCATCAGCTCACTGCCACAAAGGTGAGTAAGTAGCAGTGAGAGCTCCAGCTGTGCCTTGTGCAGAGCACAATTGACAGTGGGGCTGCAGTCCTGAGGCATCTTCTCTGGGAGATAAGCCCAGTCTGTGTCTCCCCGCAGCTCTTCAGGCTCTCACTGGTGAAGCTGTTTGGAGAATACAAGGTGCAGGGGACGTACTGCCTCCAACTCATGGCTGTTTCCTTACCCATGCAGGTATTCACAGCACTGGCCCTTGTCGGGATGCTTATTCTCCCCCTCAACAGTTTCCCATGGGTGTTGAATGGGACCTTGGAAGCCAAGGTTTCCCTGGATCGAATCCAACGTTTCCTTGAACTCATGGACCAGGACCTGGAAGCTTATTATGCCCTAGGTAATGGCAAAGGGTGCTGCTGGGCTTGGGACCCTGGGCAGGGGGCATTTGGAGCAGAGCGCTGAGGTGTGAGGCCCAGGGGCAGTACTGGAGGGCAGCTGGCTTATCACCTCATGATTCAAGAGGTTCAGTTGTCAGAGGCAGAGTGAAGGCACTTAATTTCTGTGGAAAATGGGAGACAAGGCTATAACATTCCTCTTTACCAACTGTAGGCCATTGGTTGTCCCCACAGAGTCCTGCTGTTAGTGTCTCTTTAGAAGAAGCTGCTCCCTCCTCTGTCCAAAGCTCCACTGACACTGAAGCCATCAACAACCTTGGCTTTGCCTGGCAGAAAGGCTTGAGTGGGTGCCCCTCTCCTGAGCCATCTCATCTCCCTTTCTCTCCTTCCTTGCCTTTTGCCAGCTGCTTGCCATTCTTTTACCTTCAACAATAATAAAACCAGATTATCCTTACATTGTCTCCCTGACAGCCAGCAGGTCACCATGTGTGTCTGGTGGGAGCTGGAGATAGGAGGGTTGGAGGAAGGAAGGTATAAGTTTAATGGCAAGTCAGTAGGCAAGTGTCTCATTCTGTGTTTGGGTCAAGGGCATCATGGCAGTGCCCTGTCTGTGGTCTCATCCATTTTGCAGTTTTTACTGCTAAACTGTTTGAACAAAGCTGGTAGTATTTGTGATGCCAGGTGCCTTTCATTTTCTGGCCTTCTCATAGTAGTGCAACGCTGTGGTGCTTTTCTCTTGTAGACAGCCCTTCAGGTACTGCTACTGCTGTGGAGATGCAATGTGCAGCCTTCTCATGGGCGCCAGTTGAGGAGGAAAGCACCAGGCAGCCTTTATCCACAGGCACTCTGCAACTGCACATTGAGAACCTGTCAGTGAGAAAGGTGAGCCAAGGACACAGGAAGTAACAGGGAAGAATGACACTGGAGAAGCCAAATAATGGAGCAGGGGTGGCGTGTTTTCATGTTTTCCTGGTCTTATGAGCCATGCATCAAAATCTTTTGGTAGTCAAGAGGCACAGAGCACATATCACGTCTCTCAGAGCTGAAGGGTGCTGGAGGAGATCCAGGCATGGCTTACACACAAGAGATGAACCAGCTGCCTCTGCTTTCTACCACTGCTGCAGGAGAGGAGTGGGCAGGGAATACAAGTGGGCTCCAGAGTTAACACTCCTTGCAGATTTGTGTCCTGCCATATCAGGAGTCTGGTTTACCCAACAACTGTACCCAGCTCTGCTGCTG